GCCCAGTCTGCGGGAGGCCTGGGCCGGGGCGCGCCTGCTTCTGGCCGAGCGGGCCGCCCACCACCCTCTCCTGAGTCTGTGCCATCCGCTGGCCTCAGAAGGCCACGGTCAGCGTCGCGACCTCCCAGGTCAAAGGCGACTAGAGAACCGGACTCTGGTTTCAGAAACCAACCCCGGCAGGAAGCCGAGTTGAGGGGAGAGGCGACAGAGAGGGCAGGAGGCAGGACTCCCAGGAAAGCCCTCGGCACACGCACACCCCTGCCGGAAATGCGTGACCCCCATCTTTGGGGCCACGCTCGAGAGCCCGGGGGACAGGGCCTGGCACAAGGTCCATCCTCTCCCGGCAGCCAGGCCAGCGGGACCGGGGTGTGGCACCTTTCTGCCCTCTGAGGCGGCGGCCAGCCGTCGGCCACTGCCCACTCGCGGCCCTCTTACTGTGTCCTTCCAGCACCCAGAGAGCACAGCCCTGCAGCAACAGGGGCGCGGCCAGGAGGCAGGTAGAGGCCGATCACTGCTGTGCGGCCCCCCACGTGGCAGTACAGGCTAGGAAAGGGGAGACTGCAGCTGGTGTGCCCCGAGCTGGTGCCACCGGTGGCCATGCCCCCACTGGGTGGACACAAACGGCCCCACCTTCCCCGCGAGGAAGCCGGATGTGGCCAAAGCCGGCAGGGAAGCAGAAGTGCGCTTGTTCAGCGCCACACCACAGGGGAGAGGAAGCCACCGGGGCACCCCGGGAACCCTGCCGGCATCAGGACCAGATCCTGGTGGCAAGCACAAAGCTGGCGCTGGACCCCAGAAGTCACGGTGAGGCCAGGGCCAGGAGGCGGGGCGCAGTGGCGCCTCCCAGCTGGTCTCCCCAGGGTACTAACAGGGGATTTAATGCCAAGGCGGCTCCTGCCCCAGCCCTCCCACGGGACTGCACCTGTGTTTCACACCTGCACCCCACAAAGGCAATACTCCTCACCCCCAAGAACACTGAGGCTCAGGAAAACCCCATGTCGCCCGGTGCGCTGGCCTCTGAGGCACGCGGGTGCACGGCCAGGGGCAGACCTGCCGGGGTGCGGCAGGCGCCCGTCAACGCCCGCACTCACGCAGCTTGAGGAGCGGAACGCCCACGCGCGAACAGCCGCCTCCGCCGAGAGGGGCTCGGCCTTCACCGGCCTCAGCCGGGCGCCGGAAGAAGGCAGGTCCCAGCCTCCCGGGCGCAGGGCAGCCGCCGGGCAGAGCGCGCGAGGGCAGCGC